GACAGAGCAAGACACCATCTCAAAAAATATATACTCTAGAATGATTCTCAAAGTGATATCAGTGATTGTTTTGCAAGATGGAAACTAGATATCAGTGAATGAGCTAAATAAGGAGACTTCGAATTCTGTAGCATGTGTATGATTTACCTATTCAGAAAACAGTCAAGCATGTGGTTTGCAGTGAGGTCACTTGGTGAAAAGTGTAGCCGTGTCAGACAGATGTAGGTTCAGATTCTAGGACTTCCAGGACTGACGAAAGGGAAAGGGGCTTTGGAGCTCCTTTAGCTCCAGGCAGCATTGCTTCTTTCCTGGCTTTGACATTAGCTGGAGGGAAGAGAAATTCTTAGAGCTCTAAGTGCTTGGGGTAAGACCCTTCCCCCACTGCCTTACTCTCCAACCATAACTGCTACAGGCAATTCTTACCTCTTCCACCCCTTGTCACTGCCTAAAACCCTTCATCACCTGAACTCCCATGCCTCTGAGTCTCTCTGAACCTTGTAGCCTGACACTGTCCCCTACCCTCCTCAACTCCAGACACCATTTTACACTGCCTTCTGGAATGAATAGTCCATCATTAGCAAAGTCTCCTGTATTTTCAATCTCCTTTCTAAATATTTTCCCCACATTCTTGCTATAGTAGAGACTCAGCTCTCCCAGGAACGTATAGCTTTCCTTAGAGTTCTCTAAACTGGTAACTGGTTTCTCTCTCATACATTTTATACCACTGGTTCTGGAGATATTGTCAATGTCTTGATGTCTTCCTTCCATCTCTCTTCAATTTCAAAACCATATTTTTTTTTCTCTCTTAAAAATTATCGGTGCTAAGCTCAATCTATTAGATACCTCTATCTGGCACTACCAGTTGCAGTCCTGTGCAGACCACTGAGGTACTTTCCTTACTCATCGAAGACTTAAACTATCTTACTCTCACTCTTACTGTCTCTGACACTGCTCCTATTAAAATATTATATATATTTATTATAGATATCTTTAAGCTATTCTTTCAGTTTCTAGTCTCCTCTCCTTCAACGAGGATGATTTCTAGAACATTGGTTCTCAAAATGTGGTTCCTTTGCAAACATCATCAGCATCTGGCAACCTATTATAAATATGAATTTCTAGATAACATCCCAGACTAGTGAACTCAAAACTCTGGGGGCTGGAGCCCAGAATCTATGTTTTAAGAAGCCCTTCAGGTGATTCTGATGAATATGCCAGTTTCTTAGGTCTTGTCATTACTGACAACTTTCTCTGAGACCACAGTTTGAATCTGCAGGTTTTTCACTACTACTCATCCATCTTAAGCCCTTACTTTCCCCTTACCAGCCAGACATTTGAGTACTCCTGGACTCTTCTCTTTCACATACTGTATCCAAAGAGTCAACAAATGCTGTCAGCTATACCTTCAAAATACACGTGGCATCTAACTTTTAACCTCCGCTGCAGTCATTCCAGTCCAAGCATAACCATTTCCCACCTGGAGTATTGCAACTGCTTTTGTTTGGTGGCCTTTGACCCCACTTTATCTACTTTCCACAAGGCAGCCAGAGTGTTTCTTTCAATACCTAAGGTTATGTGGCTTCATTGATTGAAATTCACCATGCTTCACTTCTTACTCTACAAAAGCCAAAGTCCTTGTAAATGTCTGCAAGGCTTTAGGGTGATCTGTCCTTTCCTGGCCAGGAAGTCACGCCCACCTTTGCCCTCCCTCTCTCCCACTACTAGCAATCTTCATTTTAATCTTTAGAATGTATTATATTACCATGTGATATACTCTTGTTTCTGTCTTGTACCATTTGAGTTGGAGCTTCACAAGGGCAGAGGCTTTCTGTTCACTGACAGAACCTCAGTTTCTGGAACCCTGCCTGATATACCTAGCAGGCGTGTAGTTATTTGTGAATAAATGAGTGAATATAGGAAGAGAAATAAATAAAAGTTGTTTGTGTGTGATAACACTGTCTTTATTGGGACTGCCCCTGATTGAGAAGTAAAGCAGCATATTCCAATAAATTTACCAGGTAAAGTAAATTTAATCAGGATATTTAATATGACACTTGGCCTTTGGGCTTTAAGCAAATTTCTTTTTCTTGTTGTGTTTCAGTAAAAGTAAGCTCTAGGTTATTTTTAGTAAGCTGAAAGTAAGCTTAGTCATTCTTGGTTAAAGGACAGCAATATTATCCTTTATGGTGTTTTTTTAAACCCAATCCAGAATCACACATTACTTTTAATTTTCATGTCCTTAGTCTCTATTAAAGGTGCTACCCTTTATATTAATAATTAGAGTAGTGAGGGATAGAGTTTAAGGATATATAAATATTTTGACCCCCAACTGACTGTCACTGGATGGGTTTAGCACCCATTGGTGATTCTTATCTGAAACAATAATTATTGTGATAACTGGAAATAGTGATTTTTCTCACTTTATAATTCTCTGTATTAATTACCTTAATATTATTCTACTATAGAACAGAATGTTCTCTTGTATTTTGTTTGTTTAGTGTCAGTATTACTCATGGAGTTGGTTGTTATTCAATTCTGTATTGTCTCAGCTTGGGGTCTTTCATCAGAGTCCTTTCATGTAAATAATGTAAGGATGAGTAATAGAGAAACAGAGTAAAATGTGAGCAGAGAAACCCTACTCTGAGACAAATTTCAGAGAGGTGAATTGTGTTGCTGATTAAGAGGCTTCAGGCCCGGCACGGTGGCTCACACCTGTAATCTCAGCACTTTGGAAGACTGAGGTGAGTGGATCATGAGGTTAGAAGATCAAGACCAGCCTGGCCAAGATAGTGAAACCCTATCTCTACTAAAAATACACAAAAAATTAGCTGGGTATGGTGGCACATATCTGTAACTACAGCTACTCAGGAGACTGAGGTGGAGAATTGCTTCAATCCAGGAGGTGGAGATTGCAGTGAGTCGAGATCACGCCACTGCATTCCAGACTAGGCGACAGAGCAAGATTCCATCTCAAAAAAACAACAAAAAACAAAAAAGGCTTCATTCAGGAAGTGTTGTTTGAGTGAACTGTGAAAAGTCATAAAATTTTGACAAAAGTGGGGATGAGGTGGAGCATAAAGAAAAAAGTGTCTGAACAAAGGAAGGCTCAGCAGACTTGGAATTTGGCAATAATACAGTGGTTCTGGACCTTGATGAGAAAGCTGAAATGGAACATAAAAACCCTCTGCACTTAGCTTCAGTTATTTGCTCAGGCAGGTCTCACTGCCCAAAACTTCCACCCCTGCTGTTTTGCCATAGGCTGGGATGGGGGTTAATGAGGGAGGGAATTTTAGGGAATGAAAACAGCACAAACCAAAAGTCCAGCTCAGATACTCCCTACTTTTGAACCCTTTTCCAGATCCCTAATAAGGATTAACCACCTTCCCTCACACACCCTTTTGTACTTTGTGTTTCTCTGTTAACAAATCTATGTTTTGTGCCGTCTGTATTTGTGGATACATCTTCCTTCTTTAAAACACGAATCATATCTTAATCCCTTGGCCTTTCTTCCCAGTACTTAGCACAAATGCTCAATAAATGTTTCTTTAACATGTGTGACAGAGAAAGGAGAGGAGAGTGATTGGTTGGGATTGGGAGCGGGAGGGCTCTGAATGTCATTTTAAGGGGTTTGGGCTTGCTCTTCAGGCAGCAGTGAGCCACAGTCGCCTTTGAACTGTGCAGCGCTGATGGGAGCTGCGATGCCAAAGGATGCAGTGGAAGGGCAGGACAGCCAGCATGCCTGGGCACCGGCCCAAGTCAGAGCACGTCAGTGGGAGAAGGGAGAAGGCACAGATGCAGATAGCCACCATCTTACAATTCTGAGACCCCATTCAAATATAGCAAGGAAAAAGGAAGCCCTTGAGCACGAATTTGGGGTTTCCAGCTTGGGTGAGGCTGACACAGGCCTCTTATCAAAAAGCATCCTAGGCAGTTTGACTGGGAGTGTTTAAGGAGTTCATCATGACCCTGTCTCTTCATCTAAAACTCCCTAAAATCAAAACAGTATGTCCTGTTGAAAGATTTTATTGTATTAAATATGGTGAGAAATGAAACATTGTCTCTACTTGAGGAATGAAACACTGGCTCCTTGTAGTGGACATTTTCACTTGTCTTTAATAATAGCTTTTAATAAAAATAGATGTTAATAACTGCTTCTTTAATCTTTAAACATGGCCCTCTGAGAGCAGCTTATTATAAAAGAAACGGTTGTCAGCTTTCTTTTGGCTCCTCAGTCCCTCCTGCCTCTTCCTAACAACAGAAAATTTGCTTTGCACCTGCTCCAACTGGGTTCGAAGAGATAAGCATCACGCAAGCCCAGAAAATTGTAGTATCAAATCTCAGCCCCAACTGTGAGGCAGCACTATCATCGAATCCCTGCTGAGAGGCGATGCTTTCCCAATTCCCCAAAGAGTTCTTTCTCCCCTGACCCCTTTTCAGGCTTGAACTCTGACTGAAACCCTCTTTTTAACTCCCAGCATGCACTGCACTTGGTGCTGACACTGACCCATCCCTGCTTCCTCTCTTCTGCCCTGGACTCATCAGTAGGTCAGGCGTTGGTAGCCCTGGGGTCACTGGGGTGCCCAATTCCAATAATGAGCACATTTAGCTAAGGAGAGGAAACGTACCCTTCTATTTGTTACAGTCCATTGCTTTTTTCCAGAAACAAATGCTAAAAGAACATTTGATATGTTGTGGTTTGGTAAATATACATACACATTGCCTAATATTCACAAAGTTGCCTCTTTTTTTTGATGCACCTTCCTTCATAAATGTATTATTCTAACTCATTTAAGAGGGATATGCCTATTTCACAGCTAGGAAATGTAAATGTTTTAAAATAAAGTTATATTCAGGAATACTCTTGCAAGAATTTCAAATAAAAATAGCAAATACTATTTAAATGTGTATAACATTTTAACAGAATTGTGTGTCATTTTAAAGGGAAAGAAGAAAAATGCTGACAAGCACTTTACAACTTTGTCTTTAAAATTTCTTCTTAGGTTTTCCAAACAGACCGAAGTCATTAAAAATATTCCTTAACCCCCAGAGTCACAAAAAAGAAGCTACCCAGGTTTATTATGAGAAGGTTGAACCTCTGTTGAAGATTGCAGGAATAAAAACTGATGTAACAAGTAAGTAATTTTCAGAATATAATTTCGCCATTTACAAAAACATACAAAAGCAAGATAACCTGAATTTTTTATTAAGGCAAACTTGGGAAAGTATTTGTAATATCCACAGTGTTTTTATGTCTTCCATAACCTACTGCAGCCAGCTCCAGAGTTATTATTTATTTTCTTTTTTTATTGTGTTATTTTTATTAGAATATTAATTTTTTTCTTTGAACTTTTTCAGATTTTTTTTCAGACCTAAACAGTTGTCAGATATAATTCTAAAGGAAGCTGTATACTTGTTTACATCTTCATTGAGATGTTTGTTATTTACATATTAATTTTGCAGTTAGGCAAGCAATTGATTTTTTGCTCACTTACGTAGTTGATGTCTTTCCATGGAATTCTTCCTTAGGTTGTTTTCGTTCTGACTCTGACCCCTGCTGGTTAGGTCAAAACTAAGCACTAAACTGCTGATTTTATTAATAGATGAATTTAGAGATTCTAGAAGCTTAAATTCATGGTTTAAACTAAGAAATGTACTTAGGTTTGTGACAAGGAAAATAGAAACTTGTTAATACAAAAATTAATAGATGACTAATAATACCCTTTTTGATTTTTTGACTTTGGTGGCCACATTCCTTTGTTTCTTTGATGGCGAACTGAGTAGAAGAGTGGATGCTATGGAGTATCTCAACTTCTCTAGCTTTATTTCTATGTGACTTCAGTAACAGTGGAAATTTGCAATAAATTTTAATCGATGAAAAATATTATAAAATAAGCCTACTCAAGGGGCAAGCCCAGAGTTCACTTGGAATTTCTTAGTCCCAGTTACAAATTCCTGGGGAAGGGATTCACAGTGATGTGGCTTTACTCAGCTGTAAACAAAGGAGATAGGTTTCAAGATGTAAATGCTGTCATGGAAGCCTACACCTAGTGACTTGATGGATTGAGGTAGAAGAAAGTTCCTTAAAAAAGAGCAAGTTTCGTGGGAAGGTTAGCCTCCATGAAATGCATCTTTGACTATAGAGGTTAAAGAGAAACTACCATGAAAAACTCAAGAAGAATTTCTGAATTAAAATAACATTATAGTGAAGAAGTTAACATTTCGTGTTTGTGACTTTTGACTTATTTAGAGATGATTTATAAGGAAGAGAGAAAATTCATATTTATGTTTCCTTTCTATGGAAGATTTTCAAAGACTGGCTAAAGGAAAAAGTTTAAGATTTATATTAGGGTGAGACAATTAAAAGTTGGATAAACTTATTGGCATACTCAATGACTATTTTGTGTCATTGATTTTATATGTGACTACTACAAAGCAGCTTGACATGGATATTACTATATAGTATTCACTTCAGGAATCTCATTGTATGCTTGCTCTGTGTTCAACATTGTGCAGGATGCAAGATGAATAAGCTATCATACTTGCAATTGAATGACTTTCCAGGGTATTAGGGATTCAGATATATACTTAAACCTCTATTAGCTGGGGTATACATAAAAGAACTCTGATGTCTCAGGTGATATTTTGATGGGAAGGTTCAAGGAAAGCATGTGAACTAGGCAGATTTTAAGAGGCAGAGAAAACAAAAAGTGAGGGGAGGAAGTCAGGCTAGCAGGCAGTACTGTAAAAGTGGTGGTGGTGGGGAGTGTGCACGCGTGTGTGTGTGTTTGTGTGTCTGTATGTCTGTGTATGTTATACCCATACATCTTGAGAGTTCCATAACTGTTCTACTTTCCTCAGTTTTGACATTATCTGAAATCTTATTCTATCATCATAAAATTGTTGCCAGTGAATTTGATCCTTTCTTATTAATATCCAGTGGGATGGGGAGAGGTGTGAATATGTGTGTGAGAGAGACCCAACATGCTTTAATCCTGATGATGATTTAAAATTTCTTTCAGTTTGGGCACAGATACTGTATTAGCACATTCAATCTGGAATAATCATTTCTTTAACCATTAAGAGTCTTCCTAGAGACTGAGGGTAGGTCCCCTTTTCCTGAAAGCTAAAATGCTTCAGTTGAATCTGGATTCTGTTAGGGAGAAGAAAGGGCAAAATGACTTCTAGGAAGGCTCCCAACAATTTATAATACAGGAGGTGTAAGTCCGGGTTATAGATGGATCTCTTATACTATACTCAGCAGTTTACTCATCGTGCATTCATTGATCCACAGTTGGTGTACATTTTTGTTTATCATAGTGTTGTAATCTGGTTTGGCAAAGATGACTCCACCACAGAATTAAAATTAAAAATGAAGAGAGAAAAAGAGATTGGAGAAAATAAAACTAATATAAAAGGCCTGAACTAAGGCAGAGGAAATCATCAAAATGTGCTTTCCTTCTTAATTTTATTGAAGATAAAATATGTTCTAGGATTTTTTCGCTAAATTTGTGAATATTACCAAGTACTATATTTACTTTAACACAAAACAATAGAATATTACCTAAAACAAATTTAGAATTTACTTATATTTGTTCATAATGGCTAATTATTAGCTGCCTAACACTCCTTCTACAGGCAAATTTATAAAATTACATCCTTTGCTTATAAAACCATTTTAGTATGCATATTGGCTCAATATTTATGAAAAAATATTTCTTGAATAAACCTGTGAATATTTGAAAAGTTTTAGTCTTCCTGCCTATTTTTTATTTTTGTGGTTGAAATAATAGATTTGAAACTTTGTATATTATAAAATACTACAGAAAGATGGTCATAATGCTGTTTCAGTTTCAAAAATTATGTCACAGTAAGATTCAAGTCATACTTTTTTTGGAAAGAAAATGTATATGAAAGAGTAAAGCAAAAAGGGGACATTTTTTCTGCATGTCCAGTGGGACTGTTGTTTTAATGTATTCTTGTGTGCATTGGTGAGTCCAAATGGAACTGGAATTACAAAATAAACCCTATATGATGATGAGTTCATCAGGAAATAGTGCTATATAAATATGAAGTATAATTTGAACAATTACAGCTAGATATATACACTAAAAGATTCTGTAATTTTTTCATAATTTTTAAAATAAATGGATCTTACCACATTAATAAAAATACACTTCTTTCATTTTGGCTTGTGCTGAAATCATAGCTACTTTTGAATATAGATTGGCATCTTTTGAAATATTTGTGCTAAAGTCGCCATCAGTATAGTATCTTATCTAATAATGGCATCAGAAAAACTTCTGGGAGAACCTGGAAAGAATTATTTTTTCCTAATTGCCTATTGGTACACAAATCAAAGAGTATGAATGATAAGCCCATCCTGGCATATGATATCATTTCTCTTCTAAAAGCAGGTTTTAGAGATTGTATCATTAAAGGTGTGTGAGTTATTTTGAGGATCAGAGAGCCATAGGATAATTTATAGAACAATAGAGTCAAAAAGTTAAGGCAGCAGAGAAATCAGACTGAAAAAACTTTCGAGGCTATATGGTTCAATTTTCTCCTTGTGGGTGGAGCACAGGTGTGTGTGGCACTCAACTTTGATTTAGCCTCCTATGCTAGAGGCAGAGTATGTTGTCACTGGACAATACTGTTTGACATTCTTATGAATGTTCAGAGTTACTGTACACTTGGGCAGATTAGAAGAGGCACCTCCTCTATGCTGACTTACAAAAAGGTGCCCTTTCTTTCAGGCTAATTCGGCCTAAGTTCACTGCTTGTCAATCAGGAGCACTAGCTAGATTGCAAATCCATCCTTCCCTTTGGCCAAGTGCCTTTGTGCTGGGCATAAACTGTACAAAATGAGAGCTTGTGAGCTGACATTTGCCTGTTTGTAATTTTTATCTACTAGAGCTAAGGTTATTTATTTTAGTAATATGAAATAAATGTGTCCCATCTATTGTAAAAAAGTCATTGAGTTATTTGAAGACAGGTATCTGTCTGCCTCTCATCTCTTGGTCATGATAGCTACTTCCATCTCCTTCAGTTACTTTTTGTATTAACAGAGCTGCTAGACCTTATCATGGTCATTATCATTATCATAGTCAGAGACATTTATCTAAAGGAAACCTTGATCTCTGCCAGCTCAGGGCTCTTGGGAGCGCCTAAGTCATCAGATAATTTTAACTCCTGGGCAGACAGCAGTGTTTGTTGTCATCTTCTTTCTCCTATAATCACGTTTCTAACAAAGCTGTTAACAAGCCCATTTGTAGTGTTTCTCTGGTTGTTTTTGGCTCTACTTGAAGCCTTCCATTTCTTGGAAATGCCTCTTGTCATTCTAAATCTCACCCAGTAAAAACTAGGCAATCTAATGAAACTGTGTCACAAAAGATTCCAGTAGCCTGAGGCATCACTCCTTCCAGTTTTACCTGCATTTTAATAAAAAAAAAAATCTGAAAAGTAGATGTTCATGCATCATGTCTAGTTCGAGAGAAAGATAATTCTGTGTAAAAGATTCTGTTTATTACCTCTTAAATAATTTTGGATGTAGACAGCCAATTCCATTCCCAACATTCAGATGTGAATTAGGAAGTTGGAACTTGATGCCTGGGGACAATGAAGACTCATTAATGGGGTTTATACAAAAAAGTGATATAATTAAATATGTATCTGAAAATGGTTATTCTGGCTAGAGTCGGGGAGAGGTTTGAGGGAGACGAGATAAAAGGCTATTGTAGTACAGGCTGAGTATACCTTATCTGCAAGGCTTGGGACCAGAACTGTTTCAGATTTAGGATGTTTTTAGCTTTTGGAATATTTGCAAAATACTTAACCAGTTGAGCATCCCTAATTTGAAAATCTGAAATTGAAAATTCTCCAATGAGCATTTACTTTGAACATCATGTCAGTGCTTCCAAATTTTTAGATGTTGAAGCATTTTGGATTTTAGATTTTCTGATTAGGGATACTTAACTTGTCTACACAAAAAAGATAGATAGTGATCAGATCTAGGGAATTGGCTGGTAGAAATGGAATGCTATGGCATAATTTAAACACAGAAACACCTGGCCTTGGCCATGGAGTGGTTCTGGATACTGGAGGAAAGAAAGAAGTAATTTTCCTGTCTTGGAGTGGATGATGGAACAGAAAAAAAAACAATGTGTTTGAGAGAGAATATATTTGAAGGTATACATAATGGATTCTGTTTTGAGCTTACTAAGTTTGAAGTACCTACAGGACAGGAAGAAAATGACATTTCAGTATTGTATCCTGTGCAAGAATTTTATCACCAAACCAAGAAATGTTTTCTTAAGTCCAAATCAAATTTCATCTGATTTTATTTCAGCTGATTTCGTCATCAACATTCAGTATTAACCTTAAGACCTTCCCTTGTCTTCCTGAGGAAGTTGCATTTGCATTGAAGAGGGGAGGGGGAAATTCCCGGGAGGGGGAAATTCCCAGCAGTGGGAACTGTGATGGAAGACCTGTAAACTGTGAAGACTTTACATCTATTTAGAAAGAACACAGGTTGGCACTTTCATAGGAAAAGGCAAATAGATGAAATAAGAGGCTAGGTTACATTTTTTGAAATTCCATTTGTCTAGCAAGCCTCTCTTTATATTTGTTTGGAGAGGGATGATTTGAATCTGGCTTTCACTGATTCCAGGGCCCACAATACTCTGTCTAAATACATATTTGGTTCTTTCTACTATATCTAAATAGTAATCCAGATCACTCTTTATCCTTTTGCCTGTTTTTTATAACCACCTATTACTTCATATTATAGATTCATTATTTCATTTGCATATGTTGTCTATCTCTAGAATGCAAATTCCTGAGGCCAAAGTCCTGTGCATTTTGTTCATTTTGCTAATATATTTTATAGATGTGGGTAGTCAGATTCTTTTCATTTTGTTTCTTTGTTCCAGATATTTGATTTTATTGAACTTTTATAATGTTACTTTAAAAATTACTATTTTCAGACAGCTTGCATTAGTGTATAATCAAATTCCACCCACAATTTCAAAAAAAAAGACTATTACAAATTTAAAGATAGCATTTCAATCGTAACATAGTTTTAAAGCTCATTATTTATTGGATTTGAAAAACTTTACCAATGTAAGCTTTGGTATAAAAGCAAGACTTGGTAAACTGATTCTTAGCATAAATATTTTTTCATAATATTCTTAATTATTTTTAATGTGTATATGTAAGATGTTATTTTGCATTTTAAGGCTGCAACTACTTGCTATAGTTATAAATGAATGATCAGTACACATTTTCTATGATAACCTTTCAAGTTTATTAATATTAATACTTTATATGTAGTTTTATTATGGCTTTCTTCTGATTAAATTTAATATAGAGAGGTTTTATTCATGTGAGTATTAATGGCATTTTGAATAAGCTATGGGAGAATTACAATATAACACTGCTGGATACAGAATGATTCTTTTAGACACCAAGACTAATAATTTTTAACAATATCTAAAAACATTGTAGGAAAAGCTTGAACCGTGCTGGCACCAGGGGACAGACAGGCATGAAAGATTAATGTAATCTTGCATATAATGACGCACATTCTTACACAAAAAATCCATCTGCAATGTCACGTCAGTCAGCAGAAATCTTTGATGGGTGGATACAGCTGGGCTGTCTCTTCTGGCAGAGCTGCCCTGGAAAATGCTAAATGTGGTTGTGATGCTTGGTGCCATCTGCAGTGTGCCCGTTTATCCTGTCTTCACTGGCATTTACAATACTGCATAGGGCATCAGTGACTGTGGAGACAGCGATACGGAGTGACAGATTCATTTCCTCAGAGGATCTGGGCCCTGATGGGCCTGTGTGCCACCCTCTTTCTTGGATCTGGGTTTCTTATCATTGGTGTTGGCTTTACATTGTATTTTCACATCCAACAGTTCCAGTACACATTCTTCTGGTTTGTAAATCTTACACTAACCTTTCGACTAATTTATTCATGTAAGGTTGCCAAACCGATTTAACATTGACTGTTCGATGCCAGCTAATATGCCTTATTTTCAAAATACTGCTGCTCCTAAGCCTCTGATTTAAAGGATATGTGTCCTATTTAGGGAATCCTAAACAGACAGGCACCAAGATAAATTCTGTAACCACTATGTGTGGGATATCCCAAATGACGTATGTAGTTGAAACAAATATATGATCTTTTACATAAAGCTGTAAAACACATCAGGCCACTATACTTAATCTTCTTGCCCATGATTAAAATATAAATATTCAAGAATAAATGTTGTTTTATGAATTGGCCATATGCTTATCATATTATTTTGCCAGAACAAGTTAAAAACTGTAGGTTATTGTTTAAAACTTTCACTTTGTGTATGTCTGTGTGTGTGTGTGTTTTTTTTTTAACAGTAATGGAATATCAAGGGCACGCTCTGTCACTGCTCAAGGAATGCGAACTCCAGGGATTTGATGGGTAGGTTATATTATTAATCAGTATGTATCATATAGTTTATGTATTAAATGCTTTCACTCATTTTTAGCCATATATTTGAAACCTAACATTTACAGCTCTATCTTGTTCATATCTATGTAATAATAATTAATGTTGATAATATGACATGATCATCTACCTCTCAGGATCTGGCATAGGAAAGCAAAGAGAGGAATCTAGTTATAAGTACTGGGAAATGACAGCGTACTACCCTATACTTACTAATGTGCATACATTTGCATCTATAATTATTGGCTTTTACCATGTATCTAGAAAAGCACTGATGGATGTTATACTGGTCACATTGAGGAACTATTTGATGATCCTCTTTTGCAGATTAATTGATAGGTTTAATAGCTACCCATTAGTTAATTTGTCTGTGATAGATTTAGAGTGGATATTTTATAAATACAAGTAAATAATTATTTTCTGAAAGAATAAGAAATAATTTTAATTATCTCATAATTTAGTGACTATAATATAGGTATGTTATTCACAGTGGGCATTGGAAACCATTGTTTGCAATATATTGGAGTGTACAGAGATTCTTCACTGGCATGCAAACATTAGAACCAAGGCAAGTGATACAAATTTCACTGCCATTTTTTAAAATTAGGTTGAACCAATTTGCTAAAGTGTTCAATTGATGTGTAAGACTAAAACTTATTATATTCCTTTAGGGAAGATTTTTTTCCAAGAGTAGATATTTGAGAGTTTAAAAAGGTGACAAGCGTGTGAATTATTTGTGTTACATGGTGATGAGCAGGGGGCAAAGACCCCTTAAGGCCAGGAAAGGCAGTTAGGTCTGTACTTTCACCAAAGTAAAAGGCATTAATCTTCCAAAGAATGATTTGAATGTGATGGGGAGGGAAGCGATCCATCAAAGTGGAGCATTGGCAGGGTGGTTTTTCAGAAATGCTTATTCAGTTATTTATTTGGATGAGGAGAAAACAATAGTTGGTGAGAAAGAAAGTTTGGTAAGTAAAACATGATTTTTCCAAAAGGAATTTAGTTGAGGGAAGTAAATTTGATAGCAATATTATATAAGTGTTGGGAATCAAAAATACAGGGTAGGAGTTTACTTCAGAGCTTTATACTTAGAGGCAGACAAAAACATTAACAGGCTTCGTTTAGAAAATTGTCCCACAAGTATACAATTTAAGAAAAGTGCTTGGGGGAATCATGCCCACTAACTACCTATTTTAACATACTGCATAGTTCCTCACTAGACCTCATGAGTACATGAAGGTAGCTGCATTGCAAATGAGTCCCTGCTTCAAAACTTGATTAGATAAAGAACAAGAATAAAGATATCACAAATATTAAACTTGGTCTTACACAGCAGCATTACAAAGTGTTCTTCTGAATGTAGTATCTATTAATATGTTTTACTGGTATTTGTGCTGGGTAAAGGGATGAAAATAATTTTGTAGAATGAAGAAAGACTATTCCTGAAGTGTAGTATAGTAATATTTTTCTCTTTACCAGAACATATTTAATCCTTATTTATTTTTTATAGCAGGTGTGGTTATTTTTCAGTGTAGCACTAAAAGATGTATAGATTTTTCAGTTATTACTCACATTTTAAAATCCAAATAGTTTGGCCTAACCGTTGTTTGAATTGAGTTATGTTATAGAACTGTTTCTAAACTCTATGGCATGTTGATTTATTTCAGACTTAGAGTAATTTCAAATTTCTTCTGAAAGTCATCTGTGTTCTAAGATTCTTTAAATTGGGGGTCCCCAATTCCCAGGCTGCAGACTGGTACCAGTCGGTGGCCTTTAAGAATGGGGAAGCACAGCAGGAAGTGAGTGGCAGGAGAGGGAACATTTCTGCCTGAGTTCCACCTTCTGTCAGGTCAGCAGCAGCATTAGATTCTCATAGGAGTGCGAACCCTACTATGAACTGGGCATGCGAGGGATCTAGGTTACACACTCTGGGTGAGAATCTAATGCTTGATGATCTGAGGTGGAACAGTTTCATCCTAAAACCATCCCTTTCCCACCCTGCCCCCCAGTCTGTAGAAAAATTATTTCCCCACCAAACAAGTCCTTGATGCCAAAAAGGTTGGGGACCACTTTAAATAGCTTATTTATTTTTGTGGGTTTAATTTTCCCAATAGAAGCTGGTATGGTCGTTGGGGTCATTATCTTTAAAAAATGGCACTTTTAAGTCACTGTACTTAGAATTACAGAGAGAGGTATATGAGGAGTATAATAGAAACATAGTTTCTTCAATTCAAAGGAGCAGTTCTCTTGAAAGTAAAATTACTTAAAAAATGGAATATTCTACGTTGGTGAGTTTTCTATTCCTGAACCTGCTCTAGAGTGGCTATAGGAAAATTTTTTGGGAAATTTATAGAAAAGGTACAGATATGGGAGAAGGTTAACCCCAAAATGCTATGACATTCTGATCAGAGACAGACTCATATTTCCTTAAGAACTTTAGCCTGAAGCACCTTCATCTGATACTAGTGGAAATGTTAATAGGAAGTGATTAGGAAATTGCCTAATATTTGGTTTCTAGATACAGTTAAGAAGAAGTTAAGAGCCAAGAAAGATTCTGTGTTTAGTATTTAGTAAAGCAAAATGATTTGGTAAGTAATGTTTAAGAAATGCTATTTGCTAAGATTCTGGAGTTTTTTTTTTTTTTTTAATGAGTTACATATGTTTCTATGAGACATCTTGTGACATTTCTAAACCCAGAAGAAACAGTGTATTAGTACTTATGACAACTGACTCTCCACTGCTGTGTGTCCTGGGAAACACTCTCAGATCCGCTGTTAAATCTTGCAGGAGCTTCAGATTTATATTGCTCCCCATTTTACTGGCACGAGTAAGTTTATGAAGAAAAATAAAAGAATATCAGCTGCATAGACTTGAAGCGGTAACACTTGCAATTTATAAGTGTGATAATAGTTTTAAAAATCTGTAGATTTTATGCAGTTGTAAATATATGAATTCTTTGCTATTATTTGTTTCACAATTTAAAAAAAAATTATTAAATTACATTTTCTCTTGTTCATTTCACCATTAATTAGGCCCGTAATGATCTAGATATTATTTGGATTATATTGACATTTTATTAGATTGAACATATCTGTATTACTTCGTAAGATTTAAGAAAATCTATTTTCCAGAAAGGAAAAAACTGTGCATCAGAAATTCAATATTATAGTCAACATCTCATAGATGATGGGTTCATAGATAAGTATAAAAACATCCATTAAAAAATCTTTATCACTCATTAAAAACAGACATATATTATCACTCGATTTTACTTTTCTAGACAAAATCATTCTGTTTGGAGCCATGGCAAGGAGTTCACTTATTTTAAAAACAAGATTTGTTACATGCAAAGGATTAGTTACTCTAAGGTTTATGTTTTAGAGTGACTCAAGAGCAATTAGCTCTATAAATGATTGAATATTTTGCTTTTTGTCTTTCTTGTAGTATTTAGATTCCTGTGATATTTTGGTAAGAAGCCATTGATGAAAAATGCCAAACTGTAAAATATTACCAAACTGTAGATTATTTAAAGAGGTTTATTTTGAGCCAAATACGAGTGACTGTGGCCTAATGCAGCCTGAGTCCTGAGAACATGCGCCCACAGTAGTTGGATTACAACTTGGTTTTATACATTTTAGGGATACAGAAGTTATAGACAAAGACATAATGTATGTAGGGTATACATTGGTTTGGTCCAGAGAGGAGGGACATCATGGAGCTCTTTGGGAGGGAAGCTCACAGGTCATAGGTAAATTCAGAGATTTTCTGATTGTCAGTTGTTTGTAAAGTTAAGCCTTTCTGAAAGACTTGAAGTCAGCACAAAGAAATAGTTGAATTAAAATAAATGGGGTTGTGTAGGCTGGACACAGTGGTTCATGCCTGTAATCCCAGTACTTTAGTAGGCCAAAGAGGGGAGATCACCTGGGGTCAGGAGTTTGAGATCAGCCTGGCCAACATGGCAAAACCCCATCTCTACTAAAAATACAAAACTAGCTGGGTTTGGTGGCATGCACCTGTAGTCTCAGCTACTCAGGAGGCTGATGGAGGAGAATTGCTTGAACTATGAGGCAGAAGTTGCAGTGAGCTGAGATCACACCATTGCCCTCCAGCCTGGGCAACAGAGCGAGACTCGGTCTCAAAAATAAATATGAAGATAAATGGGTTGTGAAAGCACAGGTTCTTATTATGTAGATGAGGCCTCTAGGTATCAGGCTTCAGACAGAATAGATGGTCAGTATCTCTTATTAGACCTTAAAAGCTATCACACTCTTAGTTTAATCTCTCCTGGATCAGGAAAAGACCTGGAAAGGGAAAGAGATTCTCTATGGAATGCAGATTTCTCCTGCAAATGATGGCTTAGCAGGACCATTTCAAAATATGTCAACAAAATACATTTTGGCATAAAATACTTTGATTTCCTCTAGAGCCTGCTATCTGTTACTTAATGCTATGCCAGAGTCAGGTTGGAGTTGGGAATTTTATTGCTACAAAGTCTGTTTTGTCAGTTTTGTGATCTATATCTTAATGTCAGTGCTTGCCAGTTGCACCTAAACTCCAAAAGACAAGAAAGTATAAGGAGGCATATCCAACCTCCCTTCCTGTTACAACCTAAACTCATTTTTCAGATTTTCTTTGGGTTCTTTTTGGCTAAGAGGGAAGAATCCATTCAATTAGTTGGAGGACTTATAATTTTATTTTTGTTTTTCAAAACATTTCCTATATTAAGTCACTATACCTGAACATGATCTTAATGATTGAATAGTTATTAACATAAATAACTTCACTTAATTTCACATTTGTTCTACTGTTAAACTGTTTTTCAAAATAAAATTCTCGTAAGCTATTTTACTAGGTTTCACATATAGAAAAGGTATCTAAGATATTGAATAATATTGCAGTTTCTAAGGCCAAATTGTCTTATTTCAAACCCCTGTTTTATTACTTCCTACTGGTACAATCTTGAAAAAGTTACTTAATCTTTCTCTGCCTTAGTTTCCTAATCTGTAAATTGAGGGTAATAGTACCTATTGCATACAATTATTTTTCCACTTAAATGAGTTAATACATGGAGAATGCTAAAGAAAATGTCTGATATATATAGTAATTAGTAAATATTTCTTTATTGTTATAATTGTCATTTGTATTAGTTTCAAAGATTTAACACAGAATGTATTATGACAAAACTTCAGGTGTTTCAGAACATGCTCATAGGGAGGTCACCTCTAATAACTCTAGCAATATGGATGATGCTATAATTGTATTCAAGATTCTAGGAGTTAAGTGTTGCCATCTTATGTATATAAGGGTCAGGTTCTTTGGTGCTAAATTATATGACTTCACAGAGTCTTTTTGGTCACACCCATGTGTCAGCATGAAGACAGGCATGGATCAAGAGTTACGTTTAATTTCATAGATTAGAAATCTCATAGAGATTTTTGAAATCAGGTAAGTTTCAAATCAAACCTTGGTTTTTTCATTTATAAAGATGGGGCTCTTACCTATTTTGCAGACTTCTGAGGATATAATATAAATTAATAAACATATTGCCTGATATATAGTTTGTCCTTAGTAAATATCATTCCTTTTCTCTGAATAGATGGTCACATTGTGAACCTCTGGAATTAGTTTAGACATAAGAAAAAAAAACACACCTAATCAAAAATGACCTAAGTCATATCTTGAGTCTTCTAATGAGGGTAGACTTGGATATCCAGGCTATGTGGAGCGAGTGGGATGAGGAAGATGGGGACTAGAAGGGCAGATGGTGGGAACCAACTGAAAAGACACTTTCAGCCTCTGGTCCCCACCCTCCAGAGCTTCCTAAACTTAGAGAACCAGTAACTATTGCTGGCTGTGGTCCATAGGCAGTTTTGTTGGAATACAGTTTTTAAATGTATTGAATGCAGTTGATAGTATTTACAAATTAGGAGACTCAGCCTTAAATCAGAATCTCTGGCTTCTCTAGAAAAACCAGATCTGGTTCCCTTAGGCCTCCCATGTGATATGAGTGGGCCACAGTGATGAAGCAGCTGCCCCTTTAGATTGAGCCTACTCTTCCATTCCTGCTGGGACTTTGGAACCCTTGAGTTGTGACACCTGCTTTCACTGAGGCAAAAATCTACTTTCCATTGGGTAAATTGGTGACATTTTGATACGTAAGAATATTTTGCCTCTTTTGAACACAAATGATTATGAAACGAATTTCTGGTATCTTATGTTACTTTCCTGGATTCCACCCCCATAGTCTACTTAACATAAAATCTTAAAAAATATACTAGTAGTACTACCTAGGATCAAAGGCTAATAACATTAAATCTAGAAGTACTATATAGCAATAATGTCAAGGAGATGAAATCCAGGTCGGGTTTGTAATGACTACATTCATATACTAATGATAATTAGCAGTTTCTTAAAGCTTCATATTTTATATGATTTTTTATTGCTATCTGCCTTTTCAGAGCTTTATTGAGAATTAGGATTTTATGACTTTGGTTGGTGTTAGTTGAATGAATTGCAGATGACAGTATTATTAACATAAACAAAATGAGAATGATATGGTTTTGGATGTTAACAGAGCAAAACGCTGGTCAGATGTGAGTTAATATGTTCAAATGTTTTCATATCTCTTAACACACTTAAAGTTATTTTGTCTATAGGGAATTATGTAGTTATTATGTTTGTTAAGTAAACTTTACCTATTTAGTGTTTGTGTCTTACCCATTGACACGTACTAACATGTTTGAAGCAGCATGTGAGTATTCATGCACATAGACTACAGATTAGTAAACTCTATTGAAGTCTAGATTTCATGAATTATTACCAATCATTCTGAAGTTTTGCCTTATTTGCTTAATTGATATCTTTCTAGTGTTGTCTGTGTTGGTGGAGATGGATCTGCTAGTGAAGTGGCCCATGCTTTGCTTCTGAGAGCCCAGAAGAGTGCTGGGATGGAAACAGACCGAATCCTGACACCTGTCAGAGCACAGCTTCCACTTGGCTTAATACCAGCAGGCAAGGGAGTGGCTACAGATTCATTAAACTGACCCTTCTCCCTCATTTCCTTTCTTACTTCCTAACCTAGAGAGCATAACACAGAGTTAATGAAGAGGCTTTGAAAGATCCAGACTTCTGGCATCCCCACTATCAAATGTGAGACTTAAAACAAGTCATTTACTCTCTTAGGCCTTATTTTTCTAATCTAGAATAGGGATCACACATATATTATTCACTTTATCACAAGGTCATTGTACTAACCTTTGGGTTAGTAAAGGGTTTAATATATTGTTAAACTTTCAGTATATGGAATGGTTATTCTTCTCCCTTCCCATAAAAAGGTATAATGATTACACAGTACCAGGTAGGAGGTTTCAAAACAGGGCCACTCCAGTCTAGCTGCTTATAATTCCATATGAGGTGAATATGGTAACTTGCATAATTGAAGTATAACCAGATAACCTTGAGAATGCCAGAATTACTTGTGACTGGAAAGAGGATAAGATTTGGAAGGGTGAGATTCGTAAGGGCAAGGCATTTTATCTTTTCACTCACTGGCATTTCCTCAGCACCTAGAATAAACTATGCGACAGTGATGCTCAGTGAAGCCTATTAAGTGAATGAATGTAAGCAAGACTTCATATAGTAAATGATACTTGAATTAAGTCTTAAAATGGGTTGGAGCTGGTCTGAAAAGGTGACAATGAGTTATTTTCTTGGCTGCAAAAATAATAAAGCAAAGGCAAAACCCAGGAGTATTTGAGGAATATTGAAAAGGCCTTTCAATGGGAGATAATGGTATCAAAATATATCCAACCATGGACGCTCCTGCATGCCACAGTAAGGGCTCTGAATTGTATTTGATAAGCAGTAGGAAATAATGGGATGTTTCAGAGCAGGGGGCAACCTGATTGGAGCTTGTTCTAGGAGGGTTCATTTTGCCTCACTGTGTGGAACGATTAGAGGATGGGGGCAGGAGAAAATAGAGGTCAGAGATAGGGAGAACCATTAGAGCAACACTGTGGTTCAGAAAAGAGGAAAACATCATTCAAAAGTTGATTGTATTATACAATCACTCATACCAAATTATTTAAATAAGTGATAGTGAAGGAAATTATGTTTTCATTTAAAAAGATACACATCACTAAAACAGAGTATTTTTCCCTATGATAATAGAAAAGAAAAAAATTATATTTTGATAACCCTATTCATTTTGTATGGATTTTAGTAAAATTAGTCTTGTTGATAAATTAACAGAGCACAAGGTATCCAAATGCCCTTTTAGAGTATGAAGTCTTTCAGAAAAGCCAGAATTTAAAAGGAGAGAGATATTCAAATATATTCTGATAATTGTGGAGTATATAGAAAAACCTCAAATGGTTTCTAAGTAGAAGATAAAAAGATTATTTTGACACAAAGAGAAAAAAGATGCATTTTGGGCTATCTTTTCATGGCATTTTATTTCTTGGTGTTTTTGTTTTACTTTAGTAATTCTGAATATAATGGTGGAACCTATCCAACATTTCCCTCTGTGCCAAGTGGATGTGTTTAGGACACTGTTTGTCTTCCTTAGTACTTAAATTCCCAAGGTCATTCACTGACTGCCTTACATCAGAAATAGAAAGATGCATGTCCCTACAGTTATGCATTTGACATAAATTGGGTGGTTGGCTATAAAAACTGGTGGTTACGTTTATGTTTTTTGTATGTAATTTGGATGTTATAAAGGAATAGCATTGAGTTTTATCGCTATTATAATTTTTAATTTTTAAGAGTATTTCTGATTTGGGGAGCATTTTATGTGTTCTTTGGATATTTGTAGTAATGCTATTTTAACAAGTCTTGTTTAGAAGACACAGTATGCTGCCAAACTCTGGTCATTGTATAGGAGTTCTAGCATTCTAATTCCTTCTAATAGGAGGAGAAAGTCATGTGTGGGATATATTTAATATGAGGACTCTATGACTAGTCAGGGCTTTAGTTAGAGAATGGGAACAAGAACTAGGCAGGAAGTTTTCAAGCCGAACATGAGACAGTGTGCCATTGAAGCCATTTGCCTCCTGGAGAGAGACACCCAGAGGGAGAGTGTTTAGTAAATTAATCCACTGAGCCAACAGACTAAGCTGCTGAATTATGGTCAGACTCAAATGGATCAGATGTGGGGAAGCCTGTATTTGAACTGCTGGCCATTAGGAATGGTGTTTGTTGCTATGGGAACTGGTGCTAAGGAACTATACTGAGGGACTCTGATTAAAAGGGGGAGGAGGGATGGAGAAAAGCTGAGAGGACATAAAAATAAAAAAGCAATCCAGTTGTTGTAAAACAAGGCTCAATCCACATACTGATGGCTGTGAACCATATATTCCTATAGAGTTCGCGTAAATAAATTCATGCTTTCCAATTAATTTGAGGAGAATAAAATATTGCCGAGGGACTGTTAATTTCTATGATATTTCAGGCAGAGAACCAAAGTGTAGGTGCCGTTTTCATGAGAATTTTAGATATGCTTGACTAGGAAGTCATTACATCACATTTATCTGTTTGGATGTGGGAGACATTAACAGCCTTATGAATATTCATGGTGTCTGGTTAATTAAGTTAATTGTTCTGCAGAAGTGCTTGCACTTCCAAGGACGATTTTTTTTTCCTTTTTTTTCTTTTTGCCTCTGTAGTTTCTGCCTGATATTTCATCAGTAATTCTTTACATGAGCTGCTACTTCTGTCCTTACTTTTTGTATTTCGAACATTTTAGCAGCTCTGGGGAGGGAGTGGTGGGCAAAGTTTCTGGTAGTGTTAAGAAAAATAACTTTCAGGCTAATTAAAATGTTTACCTTGAGGTAGGACATTTATAGCTTTTGCGAGAACATTAAAATTACATCATTGTTATTTGTGTGAACAGCATGTTCTTTTGGCATGTAGACATCTTTTCAAATAGAGTGCAGTTTCCTGAAACAAAATGTAATCCATCTTTCAGATTATCCCAACAAAATATAGAACAATCCATCATTTTGCAATTTTACATACACTTTCTCATAAACTTTCTTTTTTTCTTCAGAGTGTCAAAACCACATTTAAAGACTAAGGTACAGATTAACGAGTAGTCAATGACTAAAATAATTTTCCTACTTGTAGTCATGCCTGTTATCCCTGCCAACTTCTACAGAATTAGAGAAAAGTTGCAAAGCCTGAGAGGACATAAACATTTTTTAAAGCCATCTTTAACATTCTAAAAAGAAATTGTACTTGGGCATACTCAGCATACTTTAAACTCACAGGGAATAAAGTCTTTATTTTCTTAAGTCATGCTATGTGTCATTCTCTATTGTACATGATATTATGTTTTTAAATAATCTTTCTAGAGGAATGCTTTTATGGTCTACTCCTAATTAACTATGGTAATGGAAGAAATGTGTTTCATGGAGTACTGTAATCCATCGATAATCCTAAATATCTCACTCTAATGATGTGTCCTCTTCTAAAACCTTTACCACATATCTGATTGGGAAGCACAATGGATTGAATTGTTTCCTCCTTTTTTCCCAATCTTTTCCAGATTATTAGCAATTATATGGTCAAAGGCCAGGCTTGAGGGCTGCAAGATCACTGGAAAGGCCTGGATAAAGATCCACAGAGTAACAGGTTTCTATACTACTTGTTCTCAAAACTTAGAGTTCATAGACTCACCTTGTGAACTTGCTAAAACGGAGACACCTGGGTCTTCCCTCCTCCACACACATTCCAATTTTTTGAGTTGGAGGTAGAACCCAGGAATGTATGTTTTTAAAAAGCTCCCAGGTAATGATGCTGCTTGGGCCATGCATTCCAGAGGAGTTCCTCACCAAGTCACTGTGCATACAAGCCACCTGGAGATCTTATAAGTTGCAGCCTCTGATTCAGTGTGTCTGAAATGGGACCTAAGAGGTAACATTTTAAAAATAATATATTTTCTTACTTTCATTAATACTTCTATTAATTACTATTTTAATACCCGTTACCCTTATTTATTTTTAAATTGACAAAAATTTTATTGTGTACAATGTGATGTGTTGAAACTTATAAATTGTGAAATGGCTAAATAAAGATAAACATGCATAAAGTTGACATAATGATCACATACTTATTTTGCATTGAGAACACTTAAAATTTCTCTTAGAAATTTCCAAGTATATAATGCATTGCTATTAACTATTGTTTTAGTCTGTTCTCATGCTGGGGAGCACTACACACTGGGGTCTGTTGGGGGGAAATGGGGAAAGGATGGGGGGGTGGGGAGGTGGGGAGAGATAGCATGGGGAGAAATGCCAGATATAGGTGAAGGGGAGGAAGGCAGCAAATGACACTGCCATGTGTGTACCTATGCAACAACCTTGCATGTCCTTCACATGTACCCCAAACACTAAAATGCAATAAAAAAGAAAAAAAAATACCCAAGACTGGGTAATTTATAAAGGAAAGAAGTTTAATTGACTCTCAGTTCAGCACGGCTGGGGAGGCCTGAGGAAACTTAAAACCATGGTGGAAGGCAAAGGAAAAGCAAGGTACATTCTTCACAAGGTGGTAGGAAGGAGAAATGCTAAGTAAAGTGGGGAAGAGTCCTTTGTAAAACCATCAGTTCTCATGAGAACTCACTCGCTGTGAGAAGAACAGCAGCAGGGAATCGCCCCTGTGATTCAGTTACCTTCACCTGGTCTCTCCCTTGACATGTGGAGATTTGGGGATTAAAATTCAAGATGAGATTTGGGTAGGGACACAAAGCCTAACCATATCAACTATGGTCACCAGGTTATAAAACAGATCTCTTGAAAGTATTCGTCTTAACTGAAATTTTGTATCCTTTGACCAGTATCTCCCCAGTTCTTCCCATACATTAGCTCCAGTAACCACCATTTTACTCTTTGCTTTTATGAGTTTAAGTTTTCCAGATTCTACATAAAAGTAAGATCATATCGTATTTATGTTTCTGTGGCTGGCTTATTTCACCTAGCATACCATATTCCAGGTTCATCCATGTGTTGTAA